AATTTCTCATATGAGACATTCTATAAAATGTGTGGAAATTAGCACTGAGAAATGTTATTTTGAGCCAGGAATTTTAAAAGGTTAAAAGATCTTCTCAAGGCATGATTTAAATATTTTAATTATGGTCTAATGCTGATGTTAATATCAGGACAACCTTGGTGGCAACAGTAAGACTGTGATGGTGGCCACAATAAGTCCTGCTGCTGATAACTATGAAGAGACGCTGTCTACTCTAAGATATGCTGACAGAGCGAAACGTATTGTCAACCATGCCGTTGTGAATGAAGATCCAAATGCAAAGGTACTTAAAGATCTTTTTAAGAAACTCACTGATTCATCTTAATCAGTATTTCAAAAAAAAAATAAAAAATACATGCAAAAAATGTATATAAAATAATCAGAAATTAAAACCAAATTTGGTTAATGAACTTGCTATTCTCATTGTTTCTTGATGCAAACATACTGGATAAGGTGCTACTGTCTACTGTACTGCACACATGTAGCATATCTTTTCTTGAACAATGTGCAAAAAATATAGGATAAATTTTGCAAGGAAAAACACGGCAGCAACCTCAATTTTTTTGTTGAATTGAAAGCAAGTTAGTAAGTTAGTGCTTAGTGCTCAGTGCTCAGAACTTATACACTGTCATGTAACAAATCCAAGTTTGTGAGGCTTTACAACTTTTGTCTTTTGCTGTTCTTGTAGATCATCCGTGAGCTGCGTGAAGAAGTAGACCGCCTGAAACGAATGCTACAAGCTAAGATTGCTGGGAAGTCACATATTGTGGAACCTGGAGAAACAACCATAGAGATTAAAGAGATGTTATCAGAGAGCGAGAAGTTGATGAGTGAGTGCACAATGACATGGGAACAGAAAGAGAAACAAACAGAAAAAATTCAACAGGTATGAAATGTGTGGATCTACATGTATCTTATGCTAATAAAGACAAGTTTCTTTCAGTGGAAGGTGTTTTTTGAAGAAGGGACCTTATCTGAAACAAACCTTTACAGCCCCTATTCAAATTGTAATAACTCCCTTTAATGATTCCTGGCTTTTTTTCGTAACAAGGACTTGGAAGAAGGTTGTTTTTCCCACTTGCCTTTGAGGTCTTACTGTACATGTACAATGTAACTCCAGTAAAAGAAATTGGTTCTTTCATGTATGTAGCTTCCTTGTTTTACATACTCTGTGTGATGTAAACAAAGTAACACTATATTAATTCAGAGTTTTTAAGTAAGGTTTTTTTGATACAATTTACTGAGTTGTTGTCATTAATTTTGTTTCAACAGGAAAGACACAAGGCTCTTGAAGAGATGGGTATCTCAGTGCAGTCATCTGGAATTGCAGTAGAAAAGTCCAAATTCTACCTGGTTAATTTAAATGCTGATCCTTCTATGAATGAGCTGCTAGTTTACTATTTACAGGTAACATTGCAGATTCTGTAGTTGGGATTGCTTTACTTTGTATGACCACAAATGTCCCTGGTCAATTGTTTACTTCCAGTTTGCACAAACTGAACTGATGATGAATGAAATTGGTTCAGGTGCATATCTTTCTGAATTTGACATGAAACATCTTGTAGGATCCTTGCTGAGTATCTTACTAATGCAAGTTTCTTCAATCAGTAATGACCTGCATGAAGTTATTTCTTTCTGATGTCAAAGACGTAGTTGGACAATCAGGGTGCAGTACTCAAAAGACTGCTTAGTAGGTGTCGAAAAACTGAGAAAAAACTGAAATCGTAACAAGATACAATGCTTGGCTATTTTTAACTAATTGTTAGACATTCTTGCTTGGGCTCAATCAAATCAAACGTAACTGAACCTTTTTGGAAATGACTATAACTGAACACTGGTAGGAAGTACCTAATACTTAATTGGACTAAATTATCCTAAATTTACACTTACCTTTTGATATGTTTGGATTTACATTGTATGTTCTCTGTCTTTTGATCAGGGCCTCTCCGAGATTCTGTCAAGGCTTTAGAGGAACAGTACAAAGCTGAAAAGCAAGGTATATATTAAATGTATTACATGACTCGCATATTTTCTTATGGTACAGTAGTGGGAATTGCAGATTGACGTTACTGCAGGAGGTTCAGTAGTGTAGAGGCTGGTGTGGTATACCTGAGATCATGTGGTCATGCACTCAAAGGAACCGTATCACAGATTTTAGCCATAAGAACGAAATCAAGAACGAAAATTACATAAGAAAATGACCACCTAATTAACAGGGAAATATTAAAATAACCACTTAAAACAGTGAAGGAACATTTCAATAACACAGCAAATTCAAAAGAAGGTACGAATAGACTAAAATTGAAGAAGTTTAAAATGGATTGCAATGTGTGTTTTTGAAAAACTGTTAGGCTGAACAGTTTTCAAAGTTTATCTTGTTTGTTTGCCACCTTTATTTTTGAAGACCAGGAGACTTATCTATTTGTAATGAAGCTATTGTTTTGCCATTTAGATCCATAGTCTGAAGTAATTTCTTTGCAAACTTTGAGTTTCATAGTGTGCCCTTTTCAAGGGTCCTTCTTGATATGGGCCTAGCAAGAGGGCTGTCCAAGTTACGTGTAGTCAAGAGCTCATCTCAATATTTCACCTCGATCCTCTACTTTTCACAGGTGCCTTAGACAAACAACGTCAGATGTACGAAGAAAAGATCGAGGAGTTACGAAACCAGATGGTCCCAGTGGGGCGACAGGCCATGGAGAGGACATCTAGTATTGGTTCTTTTAGTTCTGGGTATGGTTCATCTAGAATGTCATGGTGTGAAGACAGGTTAGTAACTGTAGACTGATCTGTGTGTGATTTCTCTCTACAATAACAAGGCATCTTAAACCAAACAAGTGATGAGAATCAATAAAATAATCAACTTATGACTAGCATCATATTTAGGGGGGAGAGAGACTACTCCTAGAGACTACATGCTATAGGGGTTAAGGGAGGCTGAAGTTCTTTCAGTGGCCGTGAAACAAGTGTGCCATAGTCTACTGCAAGATGTGCTTGTTGCACAGCATAACCCCAGACCATCCACAACTATAATTTGCTGAAATACACATGCCATGCATATTTTTACAGTAGACCTCTCATTTCATGTACAGATTTATAAATTATTACATTTTGCTCATTACATTATGCGTTAGAAAAGTTATTACATTTTGTGTTGATGTTATTGCATTTTGCATCAGTATTACATTTTGCGACAATTAATGCATTTTGCAGCATAATATGTACCAACCAAGTTTTGCTTTCTCTGTGACTTTTTAACCAGCAGGGAAAACTTAATTCAGTTTGAAAGGAAACCTCTGGTGCTTAAAGAGGAAGTCATTAAGGCCAATACTCTTGTCAGGTAATAGCAGCTAGTATAATAATATTATTTTAAAAAAATTATGCAAAAAGATGACTGGACTTGTTTCATTGTACACGTGTATTTCTTGTATATTTATAAGTTCTTTTGATTTATTTAGGGAGGCAAACCAGTTAAGTGAAGAGATGGGAAAAGAAACAGAGTTTGCAGTAACATTACAGGTATAACTCTGGAGAATATGGTTTTGATCTGATCCTTTATTTCCTAAAGCGAAAACACAAATTTGACAAAACAATTATCACTTTCCATGATGGAAAAAATGAAAGAATAAAAGTCACCACACCAGTTGATAGCTTATGTTTGAATTTTCATACTCTAGGGTTTCATTCAAAGACTTAAAAGTTAGAACCACTTGAACAACAATAGTAAACAGTACCACATGAAAGGACTGCTCAGTAGCTTTCATTTGAATGGTCACACACTAGGGTTTCATCCACAGACTTGGAAGTTAGAACCACCTTGTACAGCATAATAAACAGTACCACATGAAAGTACTGCTCAATAGCTTTCATTTGAATGGTCACACACAAGGGTTTTATCCACAGACTTAAAAGTTAGGACCACCTTGTACAGCATAATAAACAGTACCACATGAAAGAACTGCTCAATAGCTACTTCTGAGTTTGTAACATTTCTATTAACAGTTAAACATCAAATTTGCTTCTCAACTAGATTCCAACATCAAGTTTAAGTTTTGGTCGAAGCAGACCTGGATTCAGTAGTGAAGTTGCCATTGTAGTGAAACACAAGTCCAAAGGAACTCAAAGTAAGCCTGCTGCATAAATGGTTAAGGTTTTCTCTATGGTACCAATTGGAAATAGGTATTATCAGGAAAAGTATGAATGCAACAAGGTTAAAGAAACATTGATTAGCTGAAGTTGGCTCGTTGCCTTAGAAATGGAAAAATTTGACAAGCGTGCTCACACACAGGGTACGAATGTTTTTGCCTGTTTCCTCACAGATAGAAGATAGAAGAGTTTAATGGTAACCATTCTTTTCTTTCTTTTCAGTTTGGTCCCTTGAAAAGTTAGCCAATAAAATCTATGATATGAGAGACTTGTACAATCAATGTGTAGAGGAGAACATACCTTTCTCAGAAACCGTGAGTAGTAGATAATAAATAGTTAATAATAAGTAAGTAGTTAATAATATTTTCATTATTATATGCGTACATGATCGTTGTTGACTTTGTGATCTATGGGATTTAGCAGGAGTTACAGTGTGAGTTGTAAAATGGGAGAATTCAGACTACCTCTAATGTTTGGATTTGTTGACAGGATGAAAACCTCGACTTGTTTTTTGAAGTGGAGTGCCACACCCTTATTGGTGTCGCAAATGTGTTTCTGGAATGTCTGTTACACGATGTGAACCACGAGTATGCTGCACCCATCATTAGTCAACAAGGAGAGGTAAGAGATGAGATACATGCAGGGCTGTCAATGAGGGTTGTAACCTGCAACACATACTACGGCTGAGTATGTTTGATGGGCCCTTGATGTTATGGGTGAACTTGCCTACATTTGATACAATTCACTGAAAAGGTAGCAAGTTTGTTATGAGTGAAGATCATGGCTACAGGTGAATCGAAACATACTGACAGCCCTGCAATGTATTTTTTGCTACCAGGTAGTGGAATGTCAAAGTTATTGATTTATATTTTAACAATTACTACAAGTTTTTGATAGCAAGTGTTGATAACAACACCAAAACTCCTTTTTGCTAGAATCGAAGATTCACTTTCAGCAGCTTTTTGATTGATTTATAAGGGTCTGTCAAAATTGTTTTCTGGTCAGTAAAAGTCGGAGAATTTTTGTTTTCTTCTGAGTTAGTAACCGTGGCAATGAAAACTGATATCGCTGAACATCTGGGGAATCACCGCATCAGTCTTTCATGGTTGGTAACCTGCAACCCTGTTAAAACTCAGTTGCAAATCAATGGAAGTCTGAGTCTTGATAGAATGTTCAAGAAGGTGATTTATAATACTCAGAAATATTTCAGCTTTTCTTTGACATCTAACAACTAATACAGGTTCTCATGTTAAGCTGCTAAGTGGAACCGCTGTCTAAAGCTGCAGGCTCATACAATTTCTGACAAGTTGAGAATGCTTTCTTTATTTTAATGACTGAGAATGA